ATGCATGGGATGGATGTAGGATCGGTGGTAGTGCTTTGTTTACCTACACTCAGATTGTCCACGAAGAAATCACAGTCTGTAGAGGCTTTAAGAACTCTAGAAGGATTGGAAGACAGATAACATTGGTTTATCAATCTGGGCTTTTGTTGTAAAAAACGAAAGCACTTTTAGCAATTCGTCTTGCATCCATTCCTGCCCGCCACCGTCTCCAGCTGTACTTGCGCCGATTCGCAAGTTAAGCCCGTCTTCTAAATGACTAACTCATTCAATTTATATCCTATTTAAAAGACCTTCTATTGCATCCCTTCGAGTTGTGCTGCCTTGAATAGGCTGCGACAGAAAGTTTTGCGAAGCAAAAGCACCTATGCTAAAAAAGAGATATCCCTTATGTTTTAATGCTGAGCACGTATTTTTTTAAGGGTAGGCACAAAGATAAACCTTGACAGGTCTACACTTGAAGTGAAGAATGACATAATAGTAGACGTATAAATGGATGGTGGGTGACGATGGTCCTGCCTTCCATCTTCCTTTTACTCTGTTTGCATTCACTTTGCAGTCCAAAGGTATTTGTATCCGTAGATGTAGCGCAAGGTGACCACTTTCACTGTCGGCAGGGTATCTCCAATGTCAATTCGTAATTCACGCAGTCGAGATGACTTTAAACACCCCACTTATCCTCAAGTACGCAATAAAACCAAGTATTTACACCCCTGGTTCATATAAGTACATATACTTACATGACTCCATCTCATTTTCCTAAGCTCATAGCATTAATGGAATTAGCATGAATCAAGTAATGATAAGACAAGGCAGGGTACAAGCATTTACATCAACATTAAGATTAGTTGCACATACATTCTGTCAACAATCAACTGTGCGTCCATTTATCCCATATAAAACACAGGTATATGATAGTGTAAAGTCTCTACATCCGACAAGGTTTTCCAGCTCTATATACTTGCAAAGATTGTCATCAGGATGTATTAAAGAAAGTCCAAGATGACACCACGAAAGTTATTGTTTGCAAAGGTAGGATTGGACTGAATTTAGACAACTCTTCTCATGTTACTCTTCTAATTTCTTCAGCATTAAAATAATGGGCAAAATGAAACTGTTTGTATATCCATCTCGATTGTATATACCTCCTCTCCCAATAGTCACTAATCCCTGTCTAGAAAACTAGCAGGCATTTAACGCTTCAACCTTCAGTCGGAGTTTATCATATTGTTGCACAGGCACCCAATACGAGGAATATCAACAGTACATCCGCATCCACAATATAACTTTTTTCTTTCTTACGTTTTCAAGCAGTCTTTTCCGCTTATTCTAATGCACTTATAGATATTCCTCCTCATTTTCATCCCTTTATTCATCAGCAAATACACAAACAAACGCGT